CTCCTAAGTCTAGCACTATTCTTATAGTCGACATCATCGAAGTATAAAAATTATATTGTAAAACTATCCTCCTTCAACTTAATTAAAGTCTTTTGCCACAAACTAAGCAACAAAAGAAATAATTTCACCAAAAAATCCATACTTCAAAATAAAATGTTATCTGATGCCTCGAAGTTTTTGTCTTTTCTTTGCTAGCAAATTCCCAATTTAATGTTTTGCTTGAGAATCAATTTTTTGCTCGCCAGTCAGTTTCTGTTAAACCCTTCATGTCATTTTTGATTAATTTTTGAGTGTTTTTCTCAAAAAATATTTCATCACTCTCTGTTTGTTGCTCAACACTTTCTACATTTGTTTTTCAAAATATAACTCATATTTGACAAAACTAAAGTTTCTAGACGTTTTCTTTTTTTGTTTTTCTACTATCTCAATTCGATTTAGCTAAATTTTATTTTATTTGATGCGCGTAAGAAAATTTCCTCTTGAGGATCTTTGTCAGCTTTTTTAAATCAAACGTTCTAAAAAAAGTATTCTCTACGCATCAAAAAGTTTAACAAAATCAGATTGTTTTTACTTCCATCCATGCATTAAACAGACGTTCTTGATATTGGCAGCCATAATAAATCCAATGTTTTAAGTTGAATTCGCATCAAAAACTTGTTTCAAAACATTGGATTAATTTTTTAACTACATTTTTTCCATCTTTCAGAAATCTTGGGGGTAAAAAGAGCAGCTTTTTGAATTTTTTCAGTTTCGTTTATATTTTCTTAAAATTATGAAAAAAACTCTCTCATGCTCCAACAGAGTCTCAAATCTAAGAAACTCATGCAATGAATGTTTCCAAGTTACCTCTCGTCTTCTTGAAAAATAAACTTACCCATTCAGAAAATTTTCATGCAAAATCTAGACAAATCCAAGACCATTTATTGTCAATAAGCTCTAAACTAGCTGTCTGAGCTGTGTTTCAAGTCCAAGTTGCCCTGGTTTAACAATCTTTTGTAAAAAATCTTTTTTGCTTTGTTCGACACACAAGTTTCACAATTGTTCACTGAAAACCACTTGTCTCCATTTGTTCAACACATTTCTCTACAGGATCTAGACTTTTATCCTGGTTATGGCCAATGCAACGAAGCGTACATTTTAATGGGCTAACCCTATAATGTTCATCTTATCTACAAACTTGTCCCACAAAAAGAGATCACCATCCTCTAATTTTGGACATTTTGATCCCGTTCCTTGACAAATATACACACTCACAGGAAAATCAATAACAGTCCTGCCTTTTTCAAAATCGATACACGATTAATTTAATTGAATTCTCATGATCGTATAAAAAAATTCATCTGCGCATTTATCTCGAATTCACACTTTTTCACCCACCTCACCATTCTTTTTCAGTTTTGACTCAGAGGCACGTTTATTGCTAGCCGATCTTTCAAATTTCTCATTTCGCCTTAGAAAAAGGACTCGATCTTTTACCATTTTTTTGGCGGCAATATGATAAATCATCGCCGTGAGGCAATCCACTTGAAAAACTAAATTGAGACTCTGTTTCAGCTGCCTGGTTCTGTTGTTATTGTTTTGTTCTACCATTGATTTTTGTCCATGCTCAGCAAAAAAGGCAAGATACCCAATCTCTTATTTGAATTTCCTTGCATTGTCTTCACTTTCTCGTCCGCTGCCTGAATTTTTTCTGCTTTTTCATCAATTTTGTCTGATGACATTAAGAACAAACTCAATTTCCGCATGTCAAAAGCATGCGTTTTTTCATTGAATTGTCTCTCAACATCAAAATTCACAAGAACTTTTTATCAAATTGTCTAAATTTTCCTCATCTCTAATAATCTTTGCAATAGTAGACCAAGTTTCAAAATGTTTCGGAAGCTCTTTCAGAAAATTTGTTTATTTTTGTCGTGTTTTTTCACTTGCTCTAATTTTTACGGTTTCGCCTAAGAGAGAGAGAGAGAGAGAGAGAGAGAGAGAGAGAGAGATAGAAAGAAAGAGAGAGAAAGAGAGAGAGAGAGGGAGAGAAAAAGAGACTCGAATACGCTGTTTCCTAGGTTCAGTGATCAAGTTTTGAAATCTGAGTCTTTCAGAAATCTTAAACCTCTTCCTTTTTGCTACCATTGCCCTTATAAGGTACGAAAAACAAAATTGCTCAGATGAGCAACGTTTTTTTGAGAAAAACCTTCTTCCTCTATCAATGCATGTTTTAAACAATTATTTTATTCGGTCTTACAATTTGCATAAAATTTCATTTTCCAAAAAAAACACGCCTCAAACTGCTCTT